ATGGCCTATCTGTAAGAAAATACCCCTGGCATTATTTTTTGTGGATCATCAACGCGTCATTAAGACAGTAGGGGAGATGCACACCTCAGTGCTTCGTATAAGGCGTGGGTGATGCCACATTTGCCAATACAAACGATGCTACATTTTTTATCCTTGAGCGAATGTAACGAAAAACCTTTATAAGCCTGCTTCTATAAATAAAGTTGTTAATATCCATACAAAATCGCTATTAATCTTCCTTCGAATTGAACGAGCATTTACTTTAGGCACTAGTAACGGGTATTTATCCAGTCACAAGACTAACCCTGCACTGTTTGTTTGGAATTGGGGAACTTAGTCAAAGATATAAAATATTCAGTCAAAAAATAATTCATTGATTTGGCAGACGTTTAAGTAGGCCCAGTCTAACAAAACAACGATAAAATAATTAAAACTAAAAGGGATTTTCTATGGTATACTTTCAAATTACCTTCATTGACTCCGAGCCATATTTGTACATATACTCTGACAAGTTACCAAATGCTCATAGATTTAAAAAAAATGAACGTATATATTTATATCTAATCCTGAGCCAGTATTTATTTAATTCTAAATAATATGCAATTTTAAGTTGCAGAAGATCATAAGGTCATATGTGTGGTCCCCATGCTCGTAGAAAAACGTGGCGTATTTACTTCTCCATCATCCGAACTATTGATCAAACATTTGCTGTCGAAAACATACTGTCAGGCATTTAATGAATAAAAAATTTATTTCGAGAAGCATGTCAAGTCTGAAATAAAAGAAACATTTAGTAAAGACGTGGCTCAGGCTTGCAGACCCTCATGGAGCAGGTCAACCGACGCTGGAATGTCCGGCAGGCTCCATTGAACCTGCTGTGCCAGTGGACTGACCTTCCGTTCACTTTTATGCCGCACAAATACGGATTCAAAGCGACGAGGCAGATCAATATCTAACTTCAGCTTGTTATCTAGTCGTTGCACTCGGTCCAGACATTCACAATGTAACATCCGCAGTAACATCCGCCTGTACCTGCCCCAGTAGACAATGTAGACAAAAAAATTTGCTGTAGAGTTCAGTTGAGAGCCCAGAGCAGCCACATAAGAGCAAACGTGAAGGGCGACCAAGTAGACGCATGAAGAGGGAAAGACGTAACGTGATACAATCTGGATGATACTCACAGGCACCAGAGGCAGCATGAAGAGAGTGAAGGTGATGATGCCAGTGAGGAGGGCACGAGTGAGCTTGACCCCGCGAGAAACACTGGGGCTTGAACAGGTGTTCTCTTTGTGACCATCAATCGGCACAGACTGCCTCTGCCTCTGCCTCTGACGGAAAAGATCTGACCGCCGCAGACCACGTCCAATCTGCAGACTGCAGACAATGAGAATTATCAACGGTATTAGCGAGACCAGGACGCTATCGGTGCAGGAGTGTAGTTGGTAAAGCCACGCCATCACTTCAGACCATTCTGATCCCGCATTCTCAAGTGCCAAATAGCAGATGAGGGGAAGTCGAACCAGGACGGAAAATCCAAAACAGGCAGCTATGAGGCGATTAATTAGCCTCCCATTCCACCACACTTTGCTGCGAACGGGAAAGCAGATGATAAGGAAGCGTTCTACGCCAATTAGAACAACCAACGAATTCCTAAGACTTTCTAGAATATTAACGAGGGAAAATATGGGCAGAATGTACCCAGTTGACTTGTAGAACGGTCTGCAGATAGAACCCCCTTTGCAGAATGTCAACGGTTGTAGGTAGAGCATGGAGAAGATGAGAAAATGTACATCAGTCAGTGACGTGAGGACGAGGAGCTTGCGAGTCGTTCGCGGGGTCGTAGTGTCCCGACAAAACAAAAAGATGCTGAGAGCACTTGTGACAACGCCTACCGCACACACGGGAAGGCCGATGACTGTTAGGAATATGAAGCGATTTAAGTCAATAAAATCCCCATTTGTTAGTCCTGCCGGCCAAGTCTCCGTCCGCAAACAAGAAGTGTTTGAATTTGCAGATGCATTCGTAGTCATTTTATTTTGGTTTTTTTAAAATGCAAATGTTGCTAACCGGTTTGCTGCAAACGCCGTGCATAAATGGACATCTTGAAATACCACCCAAAGCACTGCATTTGCTATGGTTTAGGCAACTATAAGTGGATAACAAATCGGCCAATCAGAATGAGATAACGACGACCATAGGAATTAGGTATAGGGACTAAGTGCACTCTTACGGGCCTTTGCCATTTTAGACTACGACAAAGTAAGGATTGGGTTCAGATCGTCATCTATCACGTGCTATAATTATACTCACTCCGCTGAGGTCAAAAAGTAATCTAACATTTTTCTAACGAATGCCATAATGAAGTATCCCTGTCAATTCTTCTTTGCTCCATTTTGCCATATTGCAAACTTGCCTTCCCTAAAACTTTCTTTTCACATGCATTAATTAAAAAAGCAAGCATTTCAAATTATCTTGCTATATGGCGGTCCTAAGAGGCTCATTATTAACGTGATGGTTTTTAAGCTATGGAACGTAAAAAAATGTGTTTCATATAGTGCTCACGCTCACGGTAAAAAGGATGATTCAACAAGCTTATTTAGACTCAAAACAGAATGCGAACTTAAATTATAGATTGGCATCCATAAGATGCAGTGAGCAGTTTATCACTCCTGCTACTCTTAATCAGTTGACGCAAACAATATTTTCCGCTGATTGTATTTATAAACAATAGCAAAAATGCATTTTATGAAAAATTTTGCTGTGCTATGAGATGTGGTACGTCCGTCACTTTCGCATAAGTGGTACCACCTTAGACGTTCAGGACTAAAAAGCAGTTTATCTGGTGAGCCCTCTTCTTCCATTTTATCATCTCGAAATACACACCAACTCAGTTATTTACTGTCGCGTGTGTTTGTATTGCGTTAACCTATCGGGCTACGACATATGATCGTTTCATCGCGCAACAGATCTAAAAACCTGCCCTTGCAAGTATCGGCATAGCAACCAAGAGTGTAGGAAGGAAAAAAATAATTAGCAAAGGCAATGGAGAATGGAATGGCCATTTCGGACATATCAGTCGTCGTCAGTGAGACATTCCCAGTCTCGGGTTGCATGCCCAAAAGCTTGTTAGGCAACGCCCTTCCAATCTATTTATTGTTCCCGATAAAAACCGGTAGGACAACAAATCCATGGCTCACAGGTAGGATTTCGGGCTACTTAATGCCCAAAGAGACTAGGTTCAATTATTGCTCGCGCTACTTCGTATAAGCGTTATTTCTAAATAAAAAAAGTTACCTTGAAAACATTATTTCACTAACTCATCAGTTGCGTTTCTTCGCCTATCATTCATCACACATACACTAACGAATGATTTGCGTTCTTAATGAGCCTTCTTAGATATAAATCCTCCTAAGACATAATTCAAAATCAGTTTACGTGAGACTAATCTGTATTAATTTAAGTACACATCCTTACGTAAGTATGATAAAAGTTCAGCCCATCTGTTTACTTATCTTTAAAATTGCGAACAGAAACCGGACTTGTAATCTTTCCTGTCTGGATGTCTGCTTATCTGAGAAGAGTAACCTGTACTTGCTACGCCAGAAAAGAAATACTTATTTTTATGACCATTTTCTCTAGGATATACAGCAAATGAATTAATCAGACGACGGCTAAGGACAGGTATCACGAGAAAAACGTGTGTGTATTCTTCGGAAACACATAATTTCTATTGCATATCACAAATATGCACACTTATTCATTCATCTGATCCTGTGGAAGCTAGGTGCCTTGGCCATCTAGGTATCTGAAAAGAGGGGAGGCGTTACACATACGTGCCTGGTTGGATAAATGGGAACATCGACTGAGTTCAATTTGAAATGTGTATAGCTAGTCAAGACGCCCAACCGATTCGACGCCAATGCAGCCTTTCAGGTTGCCTATCAAGTCCAAGCAAACTTTATTTTTCAAATGGGCGTTAACATCAGCAGAGGCAGTGGCTATTCGCTAAATGAATCCAGCGCTATCTTGCCAGGAGGAAGTCAATCAATGCAGTCTGGCTTCACTGGTGAACTCAAATGGTGATAAAATGCCATTTACGCGACTTGGAATCGGAGACTATGCCTGAATTTGTCTCCTAAACAAATGCATACCATTTTACGATCTGAGAAATGTTGGTCCCAGAGCACAACAGTCATCAGGTCGCATCCTGGGTTGTAGGTAAACGATAGAATGCACCGGAATGAGGGATTTATTGTCCACGGAACCGTGAGTTGCTATCTCACACAGCACTGGCTACAAGCGAGGCAAAGTATAATGTTGACTACCTCGTTTCATGCCCGAGGGAGAGGGTGGGAGACAGCAGTGGCAACTGCTTTTACCTGATTGTGAAGCCAGTTCAATTGGTTTCCGTTTGGTGCATTGCATTATCCGAGGGCGTATCGTGCATAATGGCATATGTTGCATCGGTG